AATGCCTGTTTCAACTTTTAAATATAACTTTTGGGGGTTATATATACATCATATCCACTATAATTTTCTCTGTCTTCAAGACATTTATATAACCCCTTTCTTGTGTTCTCATCCAGGGCTTTCTTCTTCTTCTTCTTCTTCTTCTTCTTCTTCTTCTTCTTCTTCTTCTTCTTCTTCTTCTTCTTCTTCTCCTTCTCCTTGTTTGTTTAACAACAGATGCTGTTTGAATGTGATCTGTGTATGGTTGTAGGACGTCCCAGCTTTGAAGCAAAGGGTTGTCTGAGCTGAACATTGAGCATGTAATTGAATGTGCATACACAGCAACCTGTGCCATGGAAGAGGAACAGGATGTGCTCTGCCAGATTGGAGGATTTTACTAAATTACTAATTTCCCACATCAGGACCATAACTGACTATAGTGTGGAAGCATGAAAAGCTGGGAGTGCCTGTGTGATCTGAGTCATTTGATCTCTGCTCACTCAGTAGGGTAACTGGTAAAATCCTGAAGCCCAGCAGGGTAGTCTTAACTAAGGATGAACTTTTGGAAGGCTCATCCATCAGGAGCAGCCGTTGAGGGGAGCTTACAGGTTCCTTCCAGGATTCTCCTCATGTTCTTCTGTGGAAAGCTTGTGAGCCATGCCATGGTGAGTGTGTGGGCCTGTGTCCCCAGACCAGGTAGAGCATATTGGCTGAGATATAGAATCTGAACTTCTTGGGATGGGATGGACCATGAGCGGTTCTGTTCCACTGAGACAGCCATGACCAGCAGTGGCCCTTGGTATGGGGACCCCCTGGGAGGCTGCTTTCTTCTCTTATCTAGGGTTGATCAGCAGTACACCTGGGGAGCTACTGGCTGCCTACAGCCAGGTGATATTTCCTATTTTCCCTCTTGCCAACAAGGCCTGTTTACAAATATGCAGATTATCTGCATAGGGCAAGGGTCTTAAGAGCTTGTTATTTGAACTGAGTTACTTCCTCGGGAGCTTCCAATGCTATAGAAGTCAACAACCCCGTACATAAAATTGGCATTTTTCTTTCAAGAGTGACCAGCTGTTTTGCCTTTATTAATCTTCATATCCCTTGCTGGAACCTGTAAGAAGTAGTAGCAGTGGATGCTACATAGTGGAGGTGCTCACCAAGATTAAGAAAGAAGGGAATACACACTGACGGATCACCAGTGGATTTGCTGGCCAGCGCCAAGGTCAAGGTAGCCTTGGGAGTATTGATATGTGTAAAAACCATACACCTGGATGACCATGCCCCCTAATGTCGGAGCACACACCTGCCATGCATTGGTACCTGTGTGAGGACTCTACTCAGGTGCAAAACCCCAGTGCGCATATGCAAGCTCCCCTTTAAAAGGTCCTGCCTCCCATCTCTCCTCCCTTCTTTTGGCTCCTCTTGGGTTCGCTGACAACTCAGCCCCATCTCTCCCTGCATTTCTGGTAAATAAACTTCATGTGGGTTGTTCATCCATTGTTCCTTTCTTTATATCATCATCTGCAGCTTAAACAAAAGAATAGCAATATGGCTGCCTCAACTCCTGAGAGAGTTAGGTTGGTAAGGTAATGTAAGTGTGCCACAGCTCTAGTCGGAGCTGGATTGTAAATAGAGAAGCACTGTCTCAAAAAGAAATTTAAAAAGGAGAATATAGAAAAATAGAAAAATTTAGCAATAGGAAATAAAAATGTCATGCATGGGTTTATTGGGATTTGTTTAGATATCAGACCAACAGTAACTTCAGTTAAAAATGTTATTCCTTTAGAGAGAGCAGGGCATGGGGAGGAGGAAATACACAGAGGCTTCTAGAGATTACTTTGGACATGGTCAGGAAGGGCACTGAGTCACAGAGAGTACCAACAGAAGAGAAAATAGGGAAGCTGGTTTGTGCTCCAGGTGCAGGAGAGGGAAGCAGCCACAATGTATAAAAATGCTATTGATACAGCCAGTCAGAAACTCTTTTAAGGCCTTATGGAAAAGAAAAGAAAGACAACATAGGTAAATTTGGATCTGTTCGAATTTTGGATGTTCATAATTCATGAATTGACTGTAACTGCTGTGTTACCAGAGATTTCAATTAGGGATTTTTATAAATTTGGATCTGTTCAAATTTTGGATGCTCATAATTCATGAATTGGATGTAACTGCTGTGTTACCAGAGATTTCAATTAGGGATTTTTCAGTTCAACAAACTGATCATAACCTGGGCAAAATGAGACATGTGAGATGTATGCAAGTTGTGAATGTTTGGTGTGGCCACACATGAAAGTTTGATATATGTAGGATTGTGAATGCATGAATGCTGACAAAAGCAACTGCTTAAATTGCCTTGGGTATGATTTCTCTCAGATATAGTAAAACAGCTACCAAAATTGCTTTAATTATACTCAATAAGAACATCCAGTTGGTCAGTCAATACCTTTACAGGAGAGGTTGATTTGAATCCTCAAAGTCAGTTGGTGGAAAAATAACATTAGCCCATAGCATTGATTGAGGGCAGGGGAAATCTATGGATGATTATATGGAATTTGGTAGAGGAGAAGATGCAGAAATCCCCTTAAATTTTTATAGTTGTAAAGAAAAATCTAGAAAGTAAATGTTGATACATGATTTGAGACAGCTGCTTGTTAAAACCTTTAATTGATTTCAAAGAAAATTGATAATCAGTTTCCAACTCTTGGGCTGTTGCAATTCACGCTAATGCATCCTTTCAGATTCCCAAAATAGTAAGGAGCAGTCCCATGAAAATACTATGTCTTTTTTTACAAATGGTTCTTCTGATAGAACAACAGCTCCTGTTGTTACTAGTAAAAATATGCAGGAGAGAAGGCCCCAACCATAGCTCAGAGAATGAAGTTATGTGCTGTTGTAATGGTCTCTCAGCATCTAATAATATGATTCATTTAATCTATGTACTAAGATTCATTTTGTTTTTAGGAATCTTTAATTTGTGGAGACAATTCTATATAGAGAGACTATTACGATCAGGTTAAAAATGTTATTTGGGCTCTCTTCTCTAGGTCCTTATAGAGCGACATGATGGAGGAATCTGGATCGGAGACAATCAGGTCGGCACCGACTGGTCAGAAAGGCGGCGTGGGCAGCCTCTCTGGACAAGCTGATGGCGGCAGTGGGTCCTGGATGGCAGGCAGGGCTCCAGTTGCAGGTAGGGACGGCTCTGGCAGGGACACCACCAGGGGAGCTGACAGCGATGGCGAGATGAGCTCCATGGAGCTTCTGCAGTTCCAACAGCAACAGGCGCTCCAGGTGCCCAGGCAGTTCCTGTTGCAGCAAGCCTCCAATCTGAACTCCCCGGGGCACAAGCACAGCAAACAGTTGGCCTCTGCAGTGCAGGTGCCTATGTCTGAGGCCATGATGTCACAGAACATGCTCCCCCCTCAGCAGATGCAGCAGAACCTGTCACACCCTCAGCTGCAGGCCTTGCTGCAGCAGCAACAAGCTCTCATGCCCCAGCAGCTGCAGGAATATTACAAGCAGCAGCAACAACAGCTCCACCTGCAGATCCTCACCCAGCAGCAGGCTGGGAAACAGCAGCCCAGAGAGGCTCTGGGGAACACACAGCTGGCCTTCCAGCAGCAGCTCCTGCAGATGCAACAGTTGCAGCAACAGCAATTGCTCAACCTGCAGAGGCAGGGGCGGGGCGGGCCGGCGCCCCCGCGGTCCACCTGCAGCCCAGCCAAGCGTCCTGGCCCCTCCAGGCCCTCCCCCAAGCAGCCGCGTGCCCAACAGACCTGCCTGAGCTGTGGAAAGGCCAGCGTGCCCCAGGGCAGCCTGCTGAGGACAGCTTCAGGCAGGAGGGGCTGGACCTCGCCAGCACAGCTGCCACTGCTACTTGGTTCGCCAGCCCCCCCAATGTCTCCCCACCCCTCTGCCACCACACCTCACCCAATAGACAGCCCACGGTGCTCACATCTCAGAGAGACAGCTCCTCCCATGAGGAAACCCCCAGTTCCCACCCCCTTTATGGACATGGGGAATGCAAATGGCCAGGCGGTGAGACCCTGTGTGAAGACTTGGGCCAGTTTATCAAACACCTTAACACAGAACTTTGGATGATCGGAGCACGGCCCAATGCCAAGAACAGATGCAGGTGGTCCAGCAGCTGGAGATCCAGCTCACCAAGGAGAGTAAGCGGTTCCAGGCCATGAAGGCACATGTGCATATGGTGCCTTCAGAGCCCAAGCCCTTCTGCCAGCCAGTGACCGTCTCTTCAGAACCATTCCCAGATGGCCTCGTGCATCCCCCAGCTCCAGCTGCTGCCCCTGTCACACCCTTGCAACCCCCTGGTCTGGGCTCTACCTCTGTGCATAGTGGGGGCCCTGCCCGCAGGAGAAGCAGCCACGAATTCGGCTCCCCCGTCTGTTCAGAGCTTGCCCAGAATCATGATTTCTACAAGAATGCTGCTGTCAGGCCCCCCTTCACCTATGTCTCCCTTATCCGCCAGGCCATTCTAGAATCTCCAGATAGGCAACTGACTCGGAATGAGATCTGTAACTGGATCACCAGGATGTTCGCCTTCTTCCGAGGAAAAACTGACAACTGGAAGAAAGTTGTGAGCCACAACCTCAGCCTGCATGAGTGCTTTGTCAAAGTGGAGACTGTCAAGGGGGCTGTGTGGCCCGTGGACGAGCAGAAATATCAGAAACAGAGATCATCAAGGATGACAGGGAGTGATGATCTCGGGCCTCAGTTTTGGCGCCCTTAACACCAGGTATCAGCCTGCCCAGGCAGAGAGCAACTTCCCCTTCCTCAACAGTCCTGACATGCTGAACCCTGGCTCAGCCAGCAGCCTTCTGCCCCTCAGCCAGGATGACATGGGTGCCCCTGGGGAGCCCCTGCCCTGCAAAGGGAGCAGCAGCCCCCCTCGCCTCTCCCCTCCTCAGTAAAGCCACCAGGTGCAAGTGAAAGAGGAGCCTGCTGAGGCAGAGGAAGACAGGCAGCCTTGGCCTACCCTGGGTGCCCCTAACCCCAGCACTGTGGGACCTCGGGAAGACAGGGACCTGGAGGAGGACCTGCCAGGAGAAGACATGTCCTAAGGGCTGGGTGGGCAGGTGGGGCTGGCAACGACCCTGCCACCCAGTCCACCCCCCAGCCCACCCACCCCACCCCCCCGCCCCCCCCCCCCCCCCCCCCCCCCCCCCCCCCACCCCCCTTGCCCACACTGAAACCCCCCCCCCACCCGCAGGGGGGGGAACCCGCAGGCACATCCCTGCCCCCTGAGAGGACACAGAACCCTTAACCCCAACGACCTGCAGCTGTATCCCAACCACCACCAGCAGCAGGGCCCTCCTCCCCCACCAGCGCTCCCCTCCAGGGCCCCTTAGCACAGGGGAGACCTGCGGGCCGGGCTGAGCCACCGTCACATCCCTGACCTTCCTCTCCTGCCCTGGCTGTGGCAGAGGTTTCTGGCCAGAGGTCCCTTCCTGGTTCTTCTTCCCCTGACCTTTCCCGACTGTGAAGATTATAATGTTCTCCAGCCCCAGCTACCCACTCAATGTGGCAAGCAGACTGGGAGTACAACTGCTGCCCAGACCCTCAAGCTGCTCGGGTGGGACAAGCTGTGCCCTGCCCTTCTTCCCCTGACCTGAGACAGGACACAGACTGCCCTGTTTGTTGGGTGCTCCTGTGGCATCCCAATCGGAGGGAGTACTGAGGGACCCCGTGCTGGGCACCTTCAGAGCTGTATGCATAGCCGGCCTCTGTGGCCTGAGCATCACACTATGGGAGAAAGCCAGGCAGGACCATCCTCAGCCCCAACCTGCAAATCCCTGCACTGGGGTCTTTTCATGTCAGAAGCCAGCCTTCGTGACCCGCCATGCCTAGCTAGCCGCCAGCTAGTCTAGCGTCACACCTCTCAGGTTCCAGACCTGGCCTGAGAAGCAACTAACACCTATTCCTTCCCCCACTTTCTTAGTGCTTGAGATAAACATAGGAGATTCTGGATACCTGGCCTGAGAGCACTTAACATTCATTCCTCCCCCACCTCCTTTTTCTCTGCTTCCTCCTTTCCTTTAAAAAGAGACCTGGTTTCAATAAAGTTGGGCCTTGGCAAAACCTGCTTGGTCCTGCTCTTTCTTTCCTGCCCATCATTTTCAGGCGTGATCCACCTCGGCTTCACGAATTACCAGAGCCCCGTGGACCAGGGCATTTTCACCCCCTCAGCACCTGTTCCCAGTTAAACAGATGACCAAAGACCTTTCTTATGCTGGAAGCAAAAAAACAAATCTTAAAAAAAATGTTACTTGCACAATTGCAATATGCTGTTCACCTAAAAAATTCAACGTTTTATGGGTCACATTGGGAGCTGTTCAGGCCTTTCCCCTATCTACTGGCTAAAGGGATCAAGTTAACAGGTTGATTAATGAAAATGGTAGATTTGAATCAGGTAGAAAGAGCTCTACAGCCTAATAATTTTCCTCATTTAATAACTAAAGTCTAAATATACAATTTGGCTTAGCTAGAGATTCTGTTCCTCAAAATTGACAAACAATGAGGTATACCCACAATATTTATCTGTAACTAATTTAGTAATGAACCCAGATGTCCTAGAAGCAATGGGGTCATAACTCCTGTGCAGGGTATGCTTAAGGAGCAGGCTATTGCCCAGGAAAAGGGATTGGGAAGAATTTAAAGGGCGACCCCTGCCTCTGTCAGACAGACCCGCGGTACAGAGGGCCCCTGGAGACAGGAGAGGATTGGGACATTTTTAATGGGGCCCATTGTACCGCAGCTTCCTATACCTCCAACTCTTATCACCTGGAAAAATGATGAATCTGTTGGTAGAATAATGCCCACTATCTAAAATAAAATTGGAGGCTTCTCATGCCCTGGTTCAGGAGCAACACAATGCAGGTCACATTGTTCCTTCTACTTCTCCCTGGAATACCCCAATATTTGTTTTTAAGAAAAAATGAGATAATTGAGGCTGTTACAAGACTTGAGACAGGTCAATAAGACCATGATTCCCCTGGGTACCACTCAGCCAGGGATGCAAGGCCCTGTGGCCATCCCCAAAAAATTGGCATTAACTTGTGATAGATTTAAGGATTGTATTTTCAATATTCCTCTGCACCCTGCTGATTGTCAGCATTTTGTGTTCAGTGTCCTATCTCTAAATTTAAGAGAGCCTTACAAGAGGATATCAATGGGTATATTTATCTCTAGTAATGGCTAATAAACACACACTGTGTCAAGTTTCAATCAGTTTTGTCAGGATTTTGTAATTACCCCCAAAACTGGCATTCCTTACAACCCCCAAGGACAGGCTATTGTGGAACATGTCCATCATACTTTAAAAGCTTATTTGGTTCAATAAGGGGGACATTGAGGGTCCCCTTGGCTTGCCTCACCCTACTTATAATTTAAATGTTTTAATAGTGGTTAATTTAAATAATTCTGCATCAAATCATCATTGGCGGTCCTCTGTGCAGAAAAAGCCTCTGGATAAATGAATAGATCTTCCCTGGGGACTTTTGAGAGGGTCAGATCCGGTTTTGATGTGGGCTCCTGTGTCTATTTGCATTTTTCCAGAGAATGATGCATCTCCAATCTGGGTTCCAGAGTGTCATGTATACCTGGTTCCTGCTGATTCAATTCAGCTTTCTAATGAGCCATTGGATGCTAATGAGAAATGCCAGCCTTTGTGCTGATGGATTCTCAAAAACAGGTGTGACCGTTTATGGTCAGCTCCAACCTTAATATGGGAAAGGCAGCCAGCAATAAGGATTTAAAGGAACAAATTTCCTAATC